ATTTATACTCTCTGGTCTCTCTTCCCTGTCACATCCTATGTAGTACAGTGAAACACACAGGCATAGATGTGACATTTGATTTGAAAAGGGCTGCAACAATAACTTTTCCTAGTCTGAAAAGGGCTGTTTCTTTTGTTTTTGATTAGAAGCCAGGCATCCAGTGCACCCAGACAATATTAATCTTTGTACAGCTTGCAAATGGCCTTTCTGTGTATGAATATGACTCCAACCAAGGGTGAGAGGATACATAATTTATGTGATTCCCAATAGCTTGTGTGTCGGCTATATTTTTTTCTGTTTTTGCTTTGTTTAAAAAGGAATAAAATCCTAATATTTCCTTTTTTCACTCATGACTGACCTATTTTAAGAGGGTTCTTATTTCCCAGCAGCTGAAAATTTTGGCCAAACAAAATTAGGGCTGTAGGACTTACATCTTTTCCATTATTTTGGTCTGAGTTTCCCCATTTCCGCTTTTACTCTACGTGAGTCATTCTTCCTTCTCCTCTGCAATGCCCCCAGCCCTCTTTACTTTACTCAGCACTTTCCAGTAGAAGTAAACAATTAATAAGGACTCCAGACAAGATTAGCAGCCAGTCTAAGGTTGAGATTGAAACCCTACCTATGGAATGGGACTTAGACGGATTGAGTTGCTCCGTTCACTTTAGTAACTGATGAGGCCTTGGGGTTGATGGGGAATTCATAGAATATCAGGGTTGGAAGGGACCTCAGGAGATAATCTAGTCCAAACCTCTGCTCAAAGCAGGACAAATCCCCAATTTTTTCCTCCAGATCCCTAAATGGCCCCCTCAAGGATTGAACTCTCAACCCTGGGTTTAGCAGGCCAGTGCTCAAACCACTGAGCTATCCCTCCCCCCTGAATTGTTTCTATTTTCCTTTTGGTTTTGAAAAATCTCCTCACTGTTAGCATTGCCTGTTTACTCAACTGGAAAAAAAAAAAAAAGACTTCTTTTTGTATGGAGCCGTATAGATGACCCGTCAGAATGATTGATTCTGATTGTGGCTAGACAGGTGCTTTGTATAGATTTCAAATGTAGGAATGGATTCTCAGTGTCACCGCACAGTCTGGAACGCTGTCTGGAAGATTTTTGCTCTTTGAGTGGTTGTCTGGAAGTAGCTTTCACCTGTTGCACTCTTGCAATACAGACTGTTAGCCAAATCTGCAGACGTGACCTCTCTTTTAGGCACTCGGCGACTGATTTATGTGTACACAATCTGCACTTGTGCACCCAGAGCAGGCACCATAACTGTGCCTATCTACTTGGTCTACTTTTGTGGTGTTAAGATTATTTTGGAATATCCAGAAACTTAAGTGTGTGATATTAGGTAGCTGAAATAAAGAGGACACATTGAGGCAACTGAAGAATTCTCCCTCTCCATTTGAAAAAAACATCTACAGATCCTAGTCAGGTGGGTTTCTTACTTTTGTACCATAGAAATAATACAGACCACTATACTGCTTAGGTGGGTATACTACTGGTATTTTGCAGGGGTGGAATTATTATTTAGTATATAACCAAGGTTGATACCCCATTGTGCTAGGTGCTGTACATACTCATAGACAGTCCCTGTCCCAAAGAACTTGAAATCTAAGTAGACAGGACAAAGAATGAAAAATGGAAATGGTATCCCTGTTGTAGAGATGGGAGCTGAGGCAGAGATTCAAGTTCAATTTTCAAAGGCATTTATGGAATTTAGACACCTCTTCCATTAAAGTTAATGAAGATGAGTTCACGAGGCTACTTTGAACATCTGAGCCGAAGTGACTTGCCCAAACAAGGTCACGCAGTAAGTATGTGACAGAGCTGGAAATAGAACCCAGATCTGCTGAGTCCCATCAGAGAAAAGACAGTGGGATGGGCAGGTGGAAGATGATGCAGCTTATTGATGTGCTTGCCAGAGTTGAGCAGTGAACAGGAACATAAATATGACAGAGTATGATAGATGAGTGCTAATAGTATGTATGCTGTGAATAGCAAAGTAGCATTTGGTACAAAGCAAGAAAATGCTGACATCTCTGTTGCAGCTCTACAGAGAGGAGGAGAACGGGGAGAAAAGCAGTAATAGATCATGAGAATGGAGGCCTGTTGTACTGATTTTTGTTGCCACATTAATTATACAATCCATTATATACCGAGGAAAGATAATCTACTTTTCAGAGCACAGACTTTGGAAGCGTCAAAATTTAGAGCTGTGTTCTGATGTTCTGGGTAGGTAACCCCCCTACAAAGGGTAAAATGACTAATAACTTATAAGTACTTTGAGTTCTAAGGACAAAGAGCAGTATCTAAGAGAGAAATATTGTTTATTTTATTATACTGTATATGTGTTCCAGCATCTAAATCTGTGTCAAAACCAGAGAGTTACTTGCAAAGAATTAATTGATATTCCAGATCTGTTGTTGTCTGTTTGTGTAAGTGTGTGAAGCAGATACATACTGGGTTAATGCATAAACTGGAAAAATATATTCTTAAACAATCATTTAGAAAACACACAGAGTAGGCCAAAATGAAACATTATTAAATTAAACTGGTTTGGCCTGATCAGGCTGAATCAAGACTGATCTTAAAAAGCTTATTTCATTCTTTTTTTCTGTTTGAGAACTCGCTGAATTGAAATTACTAATACAACCATAAGCTTATGAATGTCAAACTTCTGATAGTGATTTTTTTTTTATTTACATTTTTTAAACGGCTAATGAGATGGTAAATAAACTGTATCTATAAATGATGGGAACCATCATGAGCTCCCCAAGATCAATAATATCAAGGAAATGAAATGTAACAGGCACCATGCCTAATTTGTAAATTATTGGGCCAATATCCCCAAGCTCACTTTAAATAAACACAAGTCTGTGCTGGATTGTTTTGTGCAGGGTTGTTTTCTTTTTCTTTCTTTCTTTGTCTTTCTGTCTTTCTTTCTACATTTGAAGTTTCCTAAATTGTGGATTATTTGATATTTCAGACAACTTGATCCCATAAACTTGAGTCACAAATGATACTCTTGTTTACATGATCCATTAGTAATTTGGAGTTTGGGCTAAGTACTAGACATTAAATGGAATCTGCTGAACGTCATCTGGGTGTCCACTGCTGCTAGTCGGTCATAGAACCAGAAAAAAAATGCTACCTCTGAGACATAGGTGGCAGTGGTTTAATGGCTCGTTAGCAGTGAAGGACATCAATAAAGACTAACTAAAACATAAAGGGATATAGTATCCTCTATCAATTTCAGGGAAAACCCTCAGTGAGTGGGATAGCCCCTTTGTGTGTGAATGTCAGTGAGTAAGATGGTGTTATCAGCTGAGTAGAGGGGAACACCCCGAACTTGAAATATGTTTTTAATAAAACTAACTCCACCATTTATTTCTCAGAAATGTTTCCAGGGGTGTCTTCTTTAATATGAGGGCTAAAGCTGTAGACTCAAGAAAGTCTTAGCTGCAGAGTCTAATCTGGAACTTCCAGCATCTTCTTGCATTAAACTCTTGAAATGAGCATCTTCATATATTTGTTGAAGAAGCATTTCTTTCCAAATATAGTCAAATCACTACCTTCTTTTGTAGCTGTTCATTGTGGATTTGGGGAAAATTTGAACAATGTTTAAAATACTAAATATTATATTAATATGCATATACATGTGTATGTTAATATGAAAGTAAAATATACCAGAATCAAGTATGAAATTTGAGGACATTAGAGAGAGAGTATTGTGTAGTGCTTGGTGCATGGGATGGCGTCAGAACAAGTGAATAGTTTTCTAAACTCTAATAAGGTCCATAGTAGCTTGTGTTCCATTTTGGATTCTGCCACTGGCATGTCATGACCTTCTGCAAATCATGTAACCTCTCTGTGCTTCAGTTTCCCCAGCTATCAAATGGATGTAATAATACTTCACGCAGGCTGTGAAGAATGATGAATCTTTACTAAAGTAGGCACATGCATGAGCACACATGCACAAAAACTTGGATAGAAGAGAATATGATTGCTGCTATTATAATTTATTTATCACATGACTAAACATGGTTAGAGAGTTTGGATGTGGATATACTATAATTGAGAGTGATTCCAGTTAAACTTCAGAGGTTATTTAAAGGGGCCTGTCTTCAAGTGCTACTCATATCTATTAATATAAGATTCTCATGCAAATTTCCTTACCTGCACAGGGTTCTAGAGCAGTCCATGTTCATGTCAGAATAAATGTTAATATTTAAAAATAGAGCTATGGCTTATTTGAATCGTTCGGCAGTTAGTCCAGTTGAATGTATATTTTTATTTCAAACTGATGTGGGGTTTTGTACACTGTTATGCATGAATGTGGGGATTAATATTTATTATTAGATAAGTGCAGACAATATGCCTGGCACTGTGCTTTTATTGTTTGTATTGTGGTGGCACCTTCTAAGACCTCACTGTGTTCGACTTGGTGTAAATACATAGTAAGAGAGGGCCCCTACCCCTGGATAGCTTACAATCTGATTTAATACGATACAATAAATGAGTGTGAGAAACAAGAGGTGGGTAAGGGAAAAAAAGGGTAATGAAAATAAAATTATGTAGTTACATAGGTGTCTGTTACACATCTTGATGATATCTTAGGGTACTACTTTTTTATAATAAATAGAAAGATGAAAAATCAGCTATTCCATGACACATGCATAACCAAATTTTCATTGGTTTGCTGATTTCTGGTAGGCACATCCGCAGAGTTGACACACACATCAAGATAGTCCGAGCATTGATGATTTTACATTCTAGAAGACGAAAATAAAACTCTTTGGGAGAATCATATCAGGGTTCATTTTAGGTAATTTTGTGAATATATTATTAATCTGATTGCTTTCCATTTTTAAAATTTCAGTCTCTTCTGGATGATGTGAATCTTCAGCAGAGAGCCAGGGCTTGATACACGGTGATTTGACGCTCATTCCATGCAGGTAAATATAAATACGGTTAATTTTCTTATTTTTGTTTCCTCCTAAACAGGTGACAAAGAAAGTCAAGTCTATGCAGATGTTCCATACTCCTGTAACATATGCCATGCAGGGTGACAGAGTTGGCGTCTGTGTGACCCAGTTTGATCCCAAGCTGCTAGAACGAGGTCTAATCTGTACTCCAGAATCTCTCCAGACCATACATGCTGCTGTCATCTCCTTGAAGAAAATCCAGTATTTCCGTGGTGCTCTTCAGACCAAGGCCAAGTTTCACATCACAGTTGGTCATGAAACAGTCATGGGAAGAGTGATGTTCTTCAGCACAGCTCCTGCTGACTTCAGCGAAGAACCCCTGGAGAATGCTTTTGATTTTGCAAAGGAATATCTTTATCAAGAGGAATACTTATCTAAGGGATCAAAATCTTCAGAGGAAAACAAGGAAAATGACCAAACAGGAGAAGGGCAGCTTCCGAGGCAACAATGGGCTTTACTGGAGTTTGAAAAACCTGTGACTTGTCCTAAATTATGCCTTGTGATTGGCTCCAAGCTGGATACTGATATTCATGCAAATACCTGCAGGTTGGCGTTCCATGGGGTACTGCTTCAAGGGATGGAAGACAAGAACTATGTTGAGACTTTTCTTCCAAAGCTGAAAGTGTACAAATTGAAGCATAAGGAAGGACAAGTGGAGAGGGTAAGCTATATTTCTTAGTACTTTATGCAGGCAAAAAAAAAAAAAAAAAAATTAGTCCATGTTTTGATCTGGATCCCAAGTATACCAAGATGCTATGGAGTTTTTCACCAAATTATGCTCCAGAATTCCTGCTTCCTTTTTTTAAAAATTTAGTTTTGTACTCCTTTTGTTTGCAAAGAAAATCTGTGAAAGATGTGTACGTAGCTGATGCAGTATTTCCTGACTCAGCTTGAAGTCATTCAGAAACTATCGCTTTTGAGAAGGGTGTGAACAGCACCATCCCTTTTGGGGAAGAGGGGATGTAAGTTAGAAATTTAATGGTCTCAATTTCATTGTCAGCATTAACTATTTCACAATTTATCAATTTAACAGTTTAGCTGGTGTGTTTGTCCGCAAACTCAAACAGCCTCCCATCCTTTCCCAGGAGCCCCAACTCTCCTCTACCCAGCTGCCAAAACCTCTGCTTCCTCTGGCATCTATAGTACAGTTATTCTGTAGTTTCAGACCAAAATTGTACAGTACGTTGAATATTAAAAATGTAGAGGCAGCATAAAATAAGTAGAAATTAATATCAGGTTAAAGAACACTATTGATTGTGTTATTAATTTTCATATTAAATTAAATAAGAACCTCAGTGATTAAAATTTATCTCAACATACCACAGAATCTCCTGTTGCCTGCACTGGAGTGCTACAGCATACAGAAATATTGCCACAGGACTTAGATCAAGCCTGTCACTGAGTACATGGGGTCTTGAATATTATATATTATGCACATGTCACACACACCATATGGTAAGCCATGTCACAGTGCATACACAACCTGTCATTAAAGATACATGGGACTTTTTGCAAGAGTAAAGAAATTTGTTCTGACTGAGATTTAATTTGGGTAATTACATTGTGACTATTTTACAGGCCCTTCATTTTCCTATGTGTTGTTTTTCTTTACTTTCTGTATTAAACTATTGCTGTATTGCTTTGGGGTCCACCTAAGTTGTGGCTGCATTTCAGTAATGGGTGGATAACCATTTGTATATAGTGCCTGTAATACACTTTGGAATTCTTTGTAGTGAAAGGAGCTCTAGAAATGTAATTATATACATTTTTAAGCAGTTACCCTTTTATTAACAATGTTAATGTAAATGTTAACCAGTAGTGTTTACATGGTGCTTTGAAAATGTAAAAATGTGATGTAATTGCTAAGCATTATTATATTGTTAACTTATACTATAGAAGAGAATTGTTAATTTTATTCTCGTAATACAAAAACCTAATCATTCTAACAAAACAATCTGCAGCAGTCTCAGCCCCATTTCTTAGCACACTGCTATAGTGAGGTGTTGTACAATACATTTTCCATATTTTTATATGAAGAGCTAAACACTAATGAAAATAGATGTCACTGTACATTTTGTGGTACCGAATTTTTGATTTTTTTGTTGTTGTTTACTTTGTAATCTGCAACAGATGCATATTAATGAGGTTCTTTCTCTAAAGCACTGACTATTAATTACATCCAGACAAGCAATTACTGCTACTCATCTGTAATTCTCTCCTCCCCTTTTCTCTCTGAGGTCTAGTCTACAGTTCCGTGCTACATCAGCACAGCTGCACCGATGCAGCTGTGTCACTGTAGTGCGTCTGGTGAAGACGTGTTATGCTGGCAGGAGATTGCTCTCCTGTAGGCACAATTACTCCAACTCAGCCAAGAGGCAGAAGCTATGCTCTCCCACCGATTTTAGCACTGGTGTGGACAGCGCTTAGGTCGATGTAACTTGCATCGCTTTTCAAACCCCTGAGTGATGTAAATTACATCAGCTTAGGCAGTAGTGTAGACAAGCCCTGAGACATCAAATAACACTGTAAAAGTAAGTATTTTGTAGTATTTTCCTTGTTGTAGCTTCTGCTTTCCAGGGACACTTTGCTTCTCCCCCATGCTTTCGCTACTAAATCTGGAGGTCAAGATTTTCAATAATGGCTAGTGATTTTTGGATGCCTCAGTTTTTGAGTGCCCAACTTGATATTCCTTGAAGAAGTGTAGTTTTCAAAGAATGTAGTTTTCAGCACTTTCTGAAAATCAGGTCCTTTTTGAGCCATCTTAAGTTGGGAACCCAGAATCACTAGTCAGTATTCAAAATCTTGACCTGGAGGTTTATATGCATTTCGTTCTTCTCAAATAGCTAGTCTTCCTTTCCAGTAGATAGTGGCAGTCCCAAACTAGAGCACCCTACCTTCTGACATTTGGATTTGATAGATCATGTTTCTGTTTCATCTGTATATTTTAATACCAGTTTTTCTGTTCTGTCTTGTTCCATTTATGCTCTATTGGCACCTATGTTCTGGCACCTTTTCTCAACTTTAAAAATTACTTCCTTCACCTCTACTAGAACTTTTAATTTATGCAAAGCTCCTACTGCCGGTAGCATTGGTAACTGCCAGAGAAACCTGGCTTGTCTGTGACTTTTCTGCTTGAATGTGGATATTAGCAAGACTAATGAGAACAAGAGTTGGAGCAAACTAGAGGGGCCCACACTGTGTTGTTTTTTTCAAACTGAAATGATCTGGATTCAGATTAACTTTCTTTGCTCAGTATTTATTATTATTTCCCCTTACATTACAAAGGGAATTATGAATACTTTTGTAAATAGTTTGAACAATTATATAATATTCACAGAAGCTACAGTGAATATCTGTGGTACGCATTGATTAACTGATATCTTGCAATTTTTAGCCCTGGTCATTCAATTTTTATGAATAACTTTTTTGAATTTTGTCCATCAGTTGTAAAATTATTACCATATATTGCACTATCCAGACAGCTCTGTAAATAAATTGAATAATATTAATCAAATTATTCATTTTTTTTCTCTTTCCTGGCAAATAACAGACAAGTGACTACTTTTTTAAAATCAGTTGACCAGTGTAGTAATCTCTGAAACGGATATCCTTCGTGAATTGTAGCCGATATCCCTGTAACTTTTAAAACAGCACTACTGTGGGCTAGGATGGGTGGCAGATGTCGTACCTTTTTCCAGTCATGGAACTGTCACAAAAGCTTTAGAAAGTGGGGGCATTAATCATTCTCTTTACTAACACCAATTGGTTCTACAAGTGAGGATCTACTGTCAAGTCATCAGCTTGTCATCTGTGTTAGGCCTGTATGTACTAAATGGCATATATTTAAAAAATTCATTCTGATACCTGGTTATCAGGGAACTGTGGTTCATTCAGAGTTAGTATTTTCCCCCAGTGTATGCCAAAAAGGTACGGCAGCGCATGTAACTCTAGTATAGGCTGAGTGTAAAGATAGAGGAGTACATCAGGCCTTAGGAGGGTTGATGAGAAGAGGACGGTGCCAATTATCATGGGTCTGCTGGGGAAGTACTTACAACTTCACATTGAGGGAGTAGAATGAAATGGATGATTTTGGTGAGTGGAGAGCAGCAGGAACCAATTGGTGGTGCAGTGCCTTTTTGTTTTGTTTCTTTTTAGTGTACAAAGTCTCTAGTTAATAGAAATTCTGAATCAGTTGGTCCCACCCTGCTGCTGATGGATAGCTAGAGATTAGGATAATTGAATTTAGGGTGTCTATTCTTGGCATTGATGCAGGAAAATCTCATTCTCTCTGCTTTTAAAGCAAGGAAGTTGGTGCCCCCCCCTCACCTTTTCTGGGGAGGCACAAAAATAATAATTTTACCTTTATGGGAAGTTAACTTTCCCTCCTGAGAATACTGTTAGGGAAAATTGGCTTCATAACTTCCTGAAGGGCTGGGAATGAGAGAGGAAGGCTGGGGTATATAGTGTTTGGCTTTCCTTCTTCAGTAGTGGGGGGAACCTATTACCGTAACCAGACTGTTACAGGAATTCAGTGGTATCCATTTGTAAAATGTTGTACTCATTTAATCTAATGTGGATGCTCCCTACCCCCCTGCTTGCTGTTGGAATTAAAATAAATCCCCCAACAGTTTAATGACCATTTAAACCAGGAGAAATCAGGTATTTATTCTTTTGCTCTTTGTTTCCACTCTGATTAATTTCAGAGCACTTATGAAATAGTAAGAACCGTAAATGAATTAAGTCTTCAGCATCCTCAGACTCATTTTTTAATGGATTTAGCTTGGTGTTTCTTTGAATGATATAGTGATACTTCCTCATAGCTTGTAAGCTATCTGACAGCAGAGGAGAGACATTCTGGCTGCTTCAAAAAGGGTGAAATCATCAAATGAGAGAACACTGTGTTAAAACAAAAAACGTCACACGACCCCTCCCCGCTTCCCCCAAAGTGCCCTTTGAATTAGCTTGTGTACTGTTTCTTTAAATCCCTGCATAATGTTACTGGCTCTGCTTAAGTGCTTCAGAGTTGTGAATATTGCATACGCATCTAGGTATTGAATGCTGCTGTTGTGCTGCTCAGTGTGCTGGTTACATTATCTATCCTTTGGTATCGTGTCAATTTAATGCCACAAGCAGGAGGAACATAGCAAGTACAGTAGAGCTCTTGAAGTGAAAGGGTTAAAGATTTTCTACTGTGATCAGTGAGTGAACTGTAAATGTTACATGTCTGAAATGTGTCCTCAGCTATACCCCCCCCCAACCACTCTTGGTAATTTATTTACTTATAGGGTCTGTACTGCACTCACCACAGTAGTATCTTATAGCTAGTTCAGAGGAACATTTTGGTAACTTCTTTTCTAAAAGGCCACCTCCTGTCTGAGTCAGTCAGTGGTGTTTTGATGTTCAGATGCATGGGCGATGGGTGTCCGAGAGACTTCTGGCCATAGTGGAGAATTTTCAGTTCATCAGCATTGAGATAGTAGCTTCTCCCAGACCTTTTCTACATGAGAAAATCACACCATGTTAACTTTATGGTGTGGTTTTAATCTGATTTGCTTAAATTGGTGCAAAAGGGCATGTGGACACTCTCGGTTTAAACCAGTTTTTTTTTTGGCTTACTTTAAATTGGTTAGGAATTTGTTTAGGATAAACCAAACTAAACCA